TTAATGTATATACACGCTACAGATGGCAGCCTAGAGTAGTGTAAGATCAGACTCTTCAGAGAGACTTCCTGGGTTCAATCCTGGTTCCATCATTACCAGCCATGTGACCTTGGACAAATTCCTTTACCTCTCTGGGGCCATTTACCTCATTGGGTTGTTGAGAGGATTACGTGAGTGAGAACATTTAAAGGACTTACAGCAGTATAAGGCGTAAAGTGGGCACTCAGTGAATGGCAGGCGCCTGCTCTGGTACATATGTTTTAATCAGGGTACCAGGACGGAGTGCTCACTTGGTGTCAAGTGCTGGGCTGGAGGACATAGAAAGCACTCATCCTGAGGGTGGTCTCCTGGAATCCTCACATCATCCTGCAAAGAAATCCTTCTTTTTTACAGTGGGAGAACCGAAGCTCCAAAACAAGCCAGATGTCAAGCATCCATCTGTTAAGGGGCAGGGTTGGAATCCAAACCGTGTTTTACCTGCTTTCAAAACTGAGTTCAGCAACGAGCACAGAACCTGGTGGTGTTATCCTGCAGTCTGCTCTCGAGCAAGCCCGGGGCATGAACTGCTCTTCCCGCTTACAAGGACAGGGACACGTGCACAGCATACACGCACACACATGCGGTATGCAGGTGAGAAACTTCCCCGATACCTGTGCCCTCTGCTGACTGCACGGCAGCAATGGATCTGAAAGACACTTTCCCCGAATACAGTTGACAGCACTTTTGGAAGTGACTCAAAATAATTGAATTCTTGACACAGAGAGATTCTGGGAACATTGGATCCTTCTTATTTCCAGTTGCATGAAAACAAGAGGCTTTGCCAAACCAAAGCAGATCGAGCCACGGGGAAGAGTTTGCATTTGTGCCAGTTATGGTCTTTTACAATAAACAAATGTTTTGATCGCCTTACACTTTTCTTTTTCATAATTCAATGTATGGATGAGGGGTATCTAGCAGAGGGGTGCATGGGGGGATTTTTACACTGTCGGCAATGCAAAATAGATACTTGCTGATCCTTGAAGGCAAAATGGAAAATATTTGCAAAAAAAAAAATAAGCAATGACAGAATTTCTCCTCGCACAGCTCCGCACCACCACACTTCACTCTGCACACAACCTTCTCACTTCTTAACAATACAAACGCCTCAAATTTTTCACCATGCAGGAAATCGTTCTCTCTCCCATTCTTTCTATTCCAGGAATACATTTTTCAATGTCAGACCTCAGGGATAATCCAATACAGATCACCAACTTTAATGTCAGGCAAACCTGGGTTTGAATCCTGGCTATGGCACCTTAAGCAAGTTCCTTAAACTCACTATGCCTCAGTTATCTCATATGTAAAATGGGCTTAAAAACAATGCTTACCTGATAGCATTGGTGTGAGGGTTGAATGAACTAATGTTCCTAAGGTCCTTAGCTCAGAGCCTGGCCCATGCACCCAAAATGTTCCTTGTTATCGCCTGATCAAACCTGTTTATTTTACAGACAAGGAAACTAGATTCGGGGGAAAAAAAAAAGTGATTTATTTAAGGTCATACGGCCAGTTAGTGACAGAGCCAAGACTGGATCCAGGCAGCCCAACCAGGTACTCTTTTTACTGTACCACTCACAGCACGGCAGATTTTCCTTCATTCATCAACTTCAAGCAGAACGGGATTGGGACATTGCCCACTTGATCATGTTCATGCTGAGCTGGTGACGTTGCCAGAGCCAGGGCCGAGAACATTCTGCATTTCTGGCTCCAGTGCAATCAGGAGCCAGTTGAGTATGAAGGGGAAGGAGCTGCACATGTGTCACATTGATGCACTGCCCCTAGGGCTATCCAGCCCCAATGAAGCTGATTTCTACAAAGCGCTGAGCAACTGTCCTCTTATCACTAATTTACCTTCTGGAAGCTGAAATTCCAGAATAGAGAAGTGGATGGGGTAGTGTCACCACTAACAGCTTTCAAACATTCTGGAAACAGACAAACCTCTGTGTCCAACCATCCTCCAACCCAAGTCCCTGAGGGAGGCTCCCTGTCCCCAGAGGCCTTCTCGCAGTGCTGAGAGGCTGGATTGCTGCCTCTGCTATGCAAAACGGTTTCTGGTGCTTGACGTGACCAATGCCACCTTAAGAAGCAAGTTGCTCTCCGTGACCACCAGTTCACCCACAGAGGGGTGGGCCCGAATCACCTGAAAGGAATGTTCTCACACAGATAAGCAGGCCCATTAAATTCTTTACTGCTCCGGAATATACAGCTCTTAACAAGCATGTGCCACTTGGCTGCAAGCCAGCTGTGTTCCTGGAGACTGCATATATCAAGCCCTTTTAAGTGGAAAGATCCACCGTCTTGCTGCCACCCAAGACTCTGCTTCTGTCCATAAGTTCCCTTAACAAACTCTTGGTTTAATTTAGAGCCGTCAGCCTCTTTCTTTGGTCTCTAGGCCCCGTCCTCCTTTGGAGGTCAATTCCAGCAGACCTAGGGACATTTTTACAATCGCCCTGTTTTTGCCCACGTGGTCCTGTTTCACCCCAAATATTCCTCCTCTTTCTTTTCTTAAAGGACACACACATCATCATCATCATCATCATCACACACTTGCCCAAGGGCTTCTGTTTTCTACAGAAAGTGTTCAAATCATCCACAGCAACATTTGGCTCCAGCATGGGAGGATTCAGTAATCTGTAGCCAGGGCAGATATAATTCCTGGAGTTTCCAGAGAGAATGGAAGCCATTGGTTCTGACAAACATCCCCATGCTCCTGCCTCTAAGCTGTGTCAAATTTTCCAAAATCCAACCAGACCCCAGATCTCCTTGTAGGCAATCCAGTCTGTTTCTGCTCCAGTCAGTAGCCAGGTGGCCCACAGCTGCACAGACCAACCAGCTGTTTTTCAAGCCTGAGCCAGTGAAACCCTCTACTCTCAGTAAACATGGCTGAGGGGGACATGGAGAGGGGCCTGGAAGACAGGAGAGGAGAAAGGGGTTATGGTTATACTCATTTCAACAGTTCAGTAATAATGATGAAAATTCTGTAGCAGAAAACTCACTGGACTAGAAGTTAGGAGGCCTGGGCTTTAATCCTGGCTCTGTCACTGAAAGAATCCATGCTCTTAGGCCAGTCACTTTGCCTCTGAGCCTCGGTGTCCTCTGTTATGTAAGTGGGTTCACCTTCATGGTCTGGAGGAAGTCTTCCAGAGCAAGGTCTTTATAGTGATGACCTTTGGTCCTAATGACACATTATAGTTTTTCAAGTACTTCCACATGCCTTATTTTGTGCATTTAATCTTCCTTAAAACTCAACAATACAGGTAGAGTATTTGGCAAATGAAGAAATTAAGGTACCCACTGCTTGGGCAATTATGGGCAAACCATGGCAGAGCTTAGTGCTAAAACAAATTATTTCTATTTCCAGCCACTTGTAGCTTACATTGCCCTTCTGGGAGCCGAGCTCTCTCCCCAGTGAAAGGTCGGAGAGAAGGACTCCTGGAAGGTAGGTAAATGCCAAAGAAGCTTTATTCCCTTGGGGTCAGAGGTCAAGAGTCTGGGCTATTCCCCAAGCCTTTTTCATGTCCTTTTAAACATTTTTGGAGCCAAAGCAAGACTCAACTTAGTTCCAAACTCCATTTGTCTGTTTTTTTGGGCTCCAGAGATGGAAAGCCGAGCTGACCTGAATTCAGGTTCCCTACCTCCTACTCCAGAGCCTAAAAGTATTGGTACCTGTGACAGTGATGGTGGCCTCTGCTGCCCTGGCTCAGAGCACTCCATTGACTTGGGTCAAAGTTAGGGGAAGATATTCCTTCCCGTCGCCCTCCATCCTCAATCAAGAAGGTGAAGCTCACCCCTCGTTTAGTAGATGGGATGTCCTCAGAGATAAGTGGATGAAGACGGGCTTTCGTCATGCTAGTGCTGAGCCTGCTACCCCCTACCCCTGACCTGAGTTCCGCTGACAGACAGGATCCTGCTGCCTTTTGGTCCTTTTAAGAGCCGAATTGTGTCCCCCCATATTCTTATATAGAAGTCCTAACCCCCAATACCTCAGAAGGTGACTGTATTTGGAGATGGGGCCTTTAAGGAGGTAATTAAGGTAAATGAGGACATCTGTGTGGGTCCTAATCCAATACAACTGGTGCCCATATAAAAAGAGGAAATTTGGACATGGACACACATGGGGGGAAGACCATGTGAGGACACAGGGAGGAGAAGGTGACCATCTACTAGCCAAGGAGAGAGGCCTCAGAAGAAACCAACCTTTCAGACGCCTTGATCTTGGACCTCTAGCCTCCAGAATGGTGAGAAAATGAATTTCTGTCGTCTGCGGTGCTTTGCGATGGCAGCCCTGGCAAACGAATACAGGCACCTGCTCCCGAGCCCACTGCCCCATCTCCAAGTACAGCTCCCTGGCTCTCCAGGGCTTCCTCGGTTTTCTCCTCGGAACTTCCCCCTGCCCTCAGCCCTGGATTCGTCAAGTCCTTGGCATCAGAAAAACCAGTTCCACAATCCAGAGCCAAATCTCCCTATTTCAGGGGCTTTCAGGAATGCTGATTTCTGCTTCTACGTGGACTGCGGGGAGGATAAACGGCCCTTGGGGCTCCTAAGGGAATGAGGAGAGAACAAGAAATACAGACAGAACAAACTGATTGATATTTTGAGTTAGAATCCTGCCCCGCATGTTACAATTGAGCTTCTACCCCTCAGAAGCCTTTGGTCCAACAGTTGGTGGCAACAACGACGAGAGTGGTTCCCGGTGTCCAGAGCCACCTCGCTCCTCAATTAATACAAGGCTTCTTGGGGTCAAGGTAGGTGCCAAAGACTCTGGGAGAAGCTAAGCCATGAAGACCTTCTTACTCTTAGAGGATGCAGAGATCCCCAAGTCCCACCCCAGATCCGCAGCCTGGTCACAGGAGGAAAAGGAGCTGAGCAGTGGAGGGAAACGCCCTGTTACTCACGTTATGTTTGCTCAGGGCCTGGCTATTGACTCCAGAGGCCTTATCACCGTATCCTCAGACAGGGCTGGTCAGGTTTGAGTTACGGAGATTTGGTTCCCACTTCTCCGTGGGACAGAAAAAAAGGAGAGGTGGCAAGGAAGGCTGTGGTAGAGTGAGAGAGAAGCTGCTGGTCAGAGCCACAATGAAAACACTTGTCCTCTTGCTGCTGGTGCTCCTGGACCTGGGGCAGGCCCAAGGATCACTCCACAGGTGAGGCCATGTCCACAGGTAGGCCATGTCCACAGGTAAGCCATGTCCGCAGGTGAGGCCACGTCCGCAGCACTGTGTCCAGCAGGGACAGTGCTTAGGGCTCCCTTGGGAAAGGAAAGCTGATGGGGAGATGATGAGTAGAAGAAACTGAGGGCTTGGAAAACGCTTACCAAGTGGTCACCTTGCGTTGGCCTTAACCTCCAGCCCATGACAAGCCATCCCCCTGCCTCCATCTCTGACAGAGCTGCCTGTCCGAGCCCCACGGACCCTCTCATGTTTGAAAGAGCAGGACCCTGAAGCTGTGGTTTGCTGTTCAAAGAATCTGAGTACTTCCCCAAGGGACGGAGTGCTTCCCCAAGAGTTCTTCTGTCCCATTTTCCTAGTAGACCTCAAAGAGCCCGTCAAGTCTAAGAGTCTGCAGAAGCAGACAGGAGCTCGGAAGGCTGAGGGCAGAGAGGGCACTGATTCTGGCCAAACCTTGGCACACTGCTCTGCAGATCCCTTTCTGTGTAATTCCCTAACTAACCTCTAGAAAAATGGAGTGGTGAAGGTGGGGTTGGAGGGAGGCAGAAATGCATCTCCTCTTCACATGGGCTTTGTCCTCAGGGTGCCCCTCAGGAAGTATCAGTCCCTCCGGAAGAAGCTGCGGGCTCAGGGCCAGCTCTCTGAGTTCTGGAAATCACAGAATTTGAACATGATCCAGTACACCGAGTCGTGCACAATGGACCAGAGTGCCAATGAGCCCCTCATCAACTACTTGGATGTGAGGCATCCCTGGGCAGGGGCTGGGGAGTCAGGGGAGGAGAGGAGGGCCAAGCCTGGGGCATGGCTAGTGGGCAGCAGCATTGAAGGCCAGTGTGGATTTCTCCTCTAGGAAGAGCCATATGGACTAATTCCCTGAATCCCCATGGACTTGGCCAAAAAAGTAGCATGTATAGACTTTTCTCTGTGGGGAGAAAGGGATGATCAGAGCAGGCCTTCTCTGCGTTGCTCTAAATGTTATTATGGGAATCAGAATAATGATTTGATTTCTTCCCTTGCAGCCCCTTCTCTACTCCTTTTACCTTTGGTTGCCACTTCCCAGGCTCTGTGAGCTCCAGTCTGTAGTATCCTGGGCTTTCTGGCCCCAGGCAGCTTTCCCTCTGTCCCCTGATGAACACCTTACCCCACCCCATCACACACACCCTGCTCTCTTCCCTTCCTTGCCTGTAGATGGAATACTTCGGCACCATCTCCGTTGGCTCTCCACCACAGAATTTCACCGTCATCTTTGACACTGGCTCCTCTAACCTCTGGGTCCCCTCTGTGTACTGCACCAGCCCAGCATGCAGTAAGTGAGCCAGGAGCCCCAGCGAGGAATGGCTGGGGGCTAGTCCTAGGATTGAAGGCCTGGCATTCTGGGGAAGGGGGCTGGGTTCCAGAAACTGGCCATCCCTGCACACCAGCCTCCCCTCTCCAACTCTGGGTCTGCCCTGGGATTGCCTTCAGCAGAAAGCAAAATAGGACAGCTATCCAAGCTAGTAACTTTCACAATGACCAGTATCAGTAGGGGTAAACTCTATCATCAAAAATACAAATCTTTGAATACATGGTGACTCACCCGCTTTGGAATGCCCAAAAGAACATTGGGGACGTTCCACTCCACTGGTTATTTCTGGGCAGGTAGGTGTGTCGGGTTCCCGAGTAGAGTGTTCACCTGCTTCAAAGAGACTTGGTGACCTATCTCCCAGTATACTGGAGGTGGGGCTGGTGGCACACAGTATACAGCAGATCTATTTGACCAGAGGTAACTCAGAGGTCTTAGTGAAGACTAGAAAAGGAAGTGCTAAGGAAAGATGTCTTAGCCTATGCAGGACAAGTTTTAGAGACAGAATGTCTCAGGAAACCCCAAGACTAAGTGTCCACAGGTTGGGCAAGGAGTTGGGAGTAATTTCCTGGAATGGCAATTGTTTATTTCTGAGTTTCTTTTGAATGTCAGACTCTGACCCACAGTGGTTGGCAAAGGCTGCTGCTGGTGCCCTGGCATTTATTTTGGTGTGCCTCAGAAGGTTACCGCGGGCAATCCTATTTGCCCAGGGACAACTCTTTGAGTGGCCCAGTTAGACCACTACATATGGGGAATGTAGTAGCTCATTAGCGAAGGCCATGGCCATCCTTTCCAACGGCCCCAACTCACTGCTGGAAGTTGAGAGAAGAGATCCTTACTCTGGGGTGTCAGGGCATGGATGAAGGCAGTGAGCTGATGGCCTAGGCAAAAGCAGCATCCTTGCTTTCCAGAGACACACGCCAGGTTCTACCCTTCCCAGTCCGACACCTACAGTACAGTAGGGAGCCATTTCTCCATTCATTACGGGACTGGGAGCTTGTCTGGAATCATCGGAGCCGATCAAGTCTCTGTGAGTATAATTCCTTCGTTTTTTTCTCTCTTAGTCAGAAACATAGAAGACAGAACACTGTTCAGAGTTCTTGGGGGGACAGATTCAGATCTGCCTCAGAAAGAGGTAGAAACAAGGAACTGGCTTCTAGCATAAGGGGGAGGCCTGGTCAGGTGCAGTTAGCACTCCCCGCCTGAGAAAGCTGCAGTATGATGGTCAGTCTGCTCAGAGGGCTGAGCCCTAGAGTGATGGCAAGGGGGGTTCCCGCAGAAAACAGTGCACAGGGCTGAGAGCCTGGTGGCAGGGTTCACAGCTGGATCTCTGATCCCAGGAGCACCAAGGAGACAACACCAGGCTTCCATCTAGAAGGATAAAGATGTCCAAGGTGGGGCTCAAGGTGGGAACTCAGTTACTGAGACAAGGCAGCAAGGTCGGAAGTAGGGGTCCAATCATGGAGACAAGCCAGATTCCCAGTTGTCAAAATAACAGCACAAGGTTAGCCCTGAACTCAATGCTGAGCTCATGAGCTGCTCCTTAAACTCCCTCTGACCAAAGGTCTTACGGGTCCCAGAACTGCGGGAACCCGACCAATGTGGGGGCAGAAAACCAGGAAAGCCTTGGCCTGCTCTACCCAGGCTGATGGGCAGCAGCACAGTTCCTCCTTATCCGTGTGTTTGCTTTCTGTGGGTGCAGTTATCCTCAGTTGACTGGTCTGAAATATTAAATTAAAAATTCCAGAAATAAATTATAATTTGTTAATTGCGCCCACTCTGAGTAGCATGATGAAATCTTGTGCCGACCAGCTCCCACCCAGGATGTGAATCATCCTTTTGTCCAGCATATCCGTGCTGTATACATATGCTCCTTGCCCATTAGTCACTTAGAGGTCAACTGTGATATCAGATCAGTTATCAGAGAGCGAGAGACCGTATTCACGTAGCTTTTATTACAGTATGTTGCTTTGTTCCATTTTATAATTAGTTATCGTTAACCCCTTACTGTGCCTAATTTATAAAATTAAACTTTATTATAGGTAGATATATATAGGAAAAAACATAGTATATATAAGCTCTGGGACTATTTGCAGTTTCAGGCGTCCACTGGGGGGTCTTGGAATGTTTACTCTGTGGATAAGAGGGACTACTGTATAGGCCCAGGCCTTTGGGCACATGGGGGCTGACCCACTCTGGTGAGCATCGTTCCAGTTCTGGGGTGATTCCAACGCCACCAGGGACCAGGCTTCATCAGCATTCCTTTAAAGTGAGTGGGAGTAGGACATATGGCGTGAAAAAGGGCCAGGAGCAGAAAACATACCATCTATGGAAAAATATCACATACAGATAAAATGACACTCTATATTTTCTATTAGAACATAAGTAAAAGTATAAATGACTGTTTAGAAGGCTGATCATAGTAATTACCTCTGGGAAACAGAGAAGGAACTGAAATGGCACGGGAGAGGGAATTTTAGCCTTAGCCTGTTGCTTCTCTGCTGGCTCGCCCGGTGTGAGGCAGCAGCCGAGCTCACAGCTACTCCAGCTTCCACTGGTTCCTCCTTCAGATTTTCTGGTTCCTGGGGCAGCTTCACATTAAACTCTGTCACAAAAGAAGATATCTAAATGTCCAATTTCATTAGTCATTAGGAAAAACAAATTAAACCACAATGTACCCACTGCGTATCCAATAGAAAACTGAAATGGAAAAGAAGGCACTATCCAGCATTGGTGAGGATATAAAACAGCTGCCTGCTGGAACTCTTAAAACATTGGTAATTGAAAACGTCAGTTAGTACAAATCACTTCAGAAAACTATCAGTATTTACTCAAGTTGAGACACTTACATACTCTATGATCTAGCAATTTAACTCTTAGGCATACATCCAACAGAAAGATGTACACATATTCATCCAAAGACACGTACAAGCTGCTCTATTAGCAATAGTCAAATACAGGAAACAACCCAAATATCCATCATGGTAGAATGAATAAATAACGATGATATATTCGTACTGTGAAATATAATAGCAGTGAACAAATTATAATAGCATGCAATAAGCATAAGGTTGAGTGACATAAGCCAGAAACAAAAGAATTCATAATGTGTGATTCTGTTTATATAAAATTTAAAAAAATAAGCAAAGCCAATATATACTGTTAGGAGCCAAGAGAATTGAGGAAAGGTGCGATGATGGGCAGAATTCATGAATGGTTGACGGGGGGTTGCAATGTCCTGTTTCTTAGTTCGGGAATTTGCTCACATGGGTGTGTACAGTTTGTGAACCCTCATTGAACAGTACACTTATGGTTTCTGTATTAAGTTTCAACAAAAAAGGTTTACATTAAAAAACTAAGTGGGAATATGGCAAAAATCCTTGTGCCCATTTAATTAAAAAAAAAAAAAGTTACAAAGGAGAAGAATTAGCTTCAGGACAGAGGGAGAATCTGGGAATCTGAGACCCTTGGGCTTTCTCCTGTCAGGTGGAAGGACTGACTGTGGTCAGCCAGCAGTTCGGAGAGAGTGTCACGGAGCCTGGCCAGACCTTTGTGAATGCGGAGTTTGATGGAATTCTGGGCCTGGGATACCCCTCCTTGGCTGTTGGAGGGGTGACCCCAGTGTTTGACAACATGATGGCCCAGAACCTGGTGGATGTGCCTATGTTTTCTGTCTATATGAGCAGGTAAGGCCCATCAAGCCTGCCGGGTCCAGGTCAGTTATGACGACGGGGGGACAGTGTGGCGCAGCTGGAAGAGCACTAGACTTTGCGGTCACGACACCTGGTTTGGATCGCTTGCTTGGCCAGCTGGGTGATTTGGGGCAAAACACTTAACTTCTAAATATTGAGGAATTGGGATTTGCCTCATACAGTCATGAAAAGCGCTTTGTAAACTGTACCATGCTATAATCTGGACTAATATAAGGAATTGAATATTCATTTATGCAGTGAATAAATATGTCTCAAGCCCCTATTACATAATGCTGAGCATGTTAGGCACTAAAAACACAATGAAACAAGAAAGACAGTCTCTGCTCTCAAAAAGTTTAACTCCAGAGGGAGGAGGCAGGAAAAAAATTTCAACATAAATTGACAATAAAATAGTTTCATGTTAATGGATGGATTAATAAAATGTGGTACATACGTGCAGTAGACTATATTTGACCTTGAAAAGGAAGGAAATTCTAACATATGCTACAACATAGATAACTCTTGAGGATATTTTGCTAAATGAAATAAGCCAGTCACAAAAAGACAACTATTGTATGATTTCACTTATATGAAGTACCTAGAGTGGTCACATTCATAGAAATAGAAAGTAGAATGGTGGTTGCCAGGGATTGGGGCCAGGGGAAAGGGAAGTTATTGAATGGTTATAGAGTTTCGGTTTTACAAGATGAAAAGTTTCTGGAGACTGGTTGCACAATAACGTGAATACATGTAATATTACTGAACTGTACACTTAAAAATGATTAAGACAGTAAATGCTATACTATGTGTATTTTACCAATTTATACAATTTTTTTTTAATTGTGTGTTGTTGTTGGAAAACATCACACCCCACCTCTGAGCATCTCACCTGGGGTTCTGGGGGAGTCATCTCACCTTCCTCCCCACACAGGGAAGGAGCTTTCTGACCCCTGCCCGGTGAGACCTGGCCTGAGCTCACCTTGCTTTGGCCTAAGCCCGTTACCCTTGTTTTCCTCTCCCATGTGGACAGTCTTGAATTTCCTCCATCAACCTTCCTTCTCTTCAGCATGGCTGCAGTTGAGGCAGCCCCAGGCAGAACTGGGAGGAAAAAGGCAGATTGTCTGGACACCTCCACCTCCCCATTTCAGGGCCTCCTGTCTCCTTCCAGCTGGGAAGACGGGAGCTGTGATGGGAAATAGCAAAGGCTTTGCAGTCAGACTGACCTGGATTTAAATCCTACCACTTATGTTACTTCGTCTCCCTAAGCCTCAGTATCCTTACATGGACACCAGGTGGATGTGAGAATTAAATAAGATTAAGCAGGTGAAATTCTTAGCACAGTGCCTTACCTAAAGGCAATCAGCAAACGTTAGTTTTTTCTTCTCTCTGTAAAATCACTTTCCTAAGATTATCGCAGATATCCAGTCCCCCTTCTCCTTTTCTATCTTGCCTTGCAATAGCCCAGATTTTGAATTTTTCTGATCCTTTCCCTTTTGAACAGGAATTCATTTTATGTCCTAGTTTCCCAAAGTTCTGTTAGGTGCCGGAACGTAATCTGAGAAATGACCACCAGTGAAAATGAATAAACATTCAAGTTCTAATAAGTGGCTCTGAGTACACATTAGCTTCTTTGCCTTAACACAAGAGAATGAACAATGTGGAAACCAACTTAGGCACCACCACAACAGTAGTTGGGAAGGTACTTGGGAAAAGGTGTCTTCTGGGGGTGCCTCAAGTCACCTGGTGTATGCACACCTCGGGATGGTTCTGGCCTTGGTTCTGCCCGAGTTCTGCATGACCAGGCCCGTTATCCCCATTTCTCACCTCCCTCCCCCTTTATCCCAAGAAGCAGAGGACATTCACAAATCGTTGAGCAGAGCTGTTTCTATCCTTTTGGCCAAAACGCCCAGACTAATCAATTCGCAGTAGTTGGAAGCCCTGGTCTCGAAGCCCCGGCTGACGTTTCTGCCTGTCTATGTGCTTGGCATGCGTGAGCAGATCAAGAGGCAGAGTCCTAGTGGAAGCTTGTCCCTAGGGTTTTCCAGTGGCTCTTCCTTGACAATCTGCCTTTCTCTCCCTGTAGTGACCTAGAAGGTGGTGCAGGGAGCGAGCTGATTTTCGGAGGCTATGATCACTCCCATTTCTCTGGGAGCCTGAATTGGGTCCCGGTCACCAAGCAAGGTTACTGGCAGATTGCTTTGGACACGTGAGTATCCTCCACAGGTATGGTACTGAGGAAAGAACTTACAACAGGCACCATTCAAATAGGATTTAACTGAACTGACATGAATGAAAGTGCTAGTCCCTGGAGAGGATGCTGGGACCCCGCTGCACAGACTAGAAGCGGGAAGGTGAGGTGTTGGAAGAGGCAGCAGTAACCATGGCGGCAGGCACGCCCTACCAACTCAGTTTCCTTGCTTGTATGTGTGGTGTGCCTTCAGTTCAACAGACAGTAAATACAAACACTCAGCCAATTGCATGTTCGCTCAACGTTAATTAACACACAGGCAAGGGCTGAGTGACATGGGGGTGCCCAAGGGAACTGGACCCAGATTTTGCATTCACAAAGCATGTACAGAAGATAAGATGTTCATACAAACTACTGTCATGTAAAGAAAAAGGAGGTCAGAGCTCTATGAGATGTGCCACCAAAGTGACCCAGCAGACAGGGCAAGACAGTTTCTATCTATCTGAATAACTCCTCAAGGGTTTCATGGAGGTGGCAGTATGGACTGAGCGCTCTCGTGCGTGCGCGCGCTCTCTCTCTCTCTCTCTCTCTCTCGCTCTCTCTCTCTCTCTCTCTCTCTCTCTCTCTCTCTCTCTCTCTCTCTCTCACACACACACACACACACGGGCAGCAGGCGGGCTTGGGGCAATTGGGGATGTGGGATTAGATCCCTGACCCATTCCCATCACTGTGCTAGACTAGATAATGCAGGAATTCAAAGAAATGTAACTCAAGTATCAATTCAGCCAGGAATAAGTTCCCGCAAGGTGCCAGGCATGTTCAGGGTACCTGAGAAACAAAAGGAAAAAGCCTCATTGGTTCACTGTCTACTGAGGGGTTTTCAAACTGTAGGGATTTACACATTTATGGGTCATGACATAAGTTTAAGGGATCCTGATCTAGACTCGGATAGAAAATAGCAGAGTGTGCTTTCACATATTAAGGTTACGCAATGTTTCATGAAATTTTTATTGAGTATATGTGTGTGTCAAGAAGTAAATGTATTTCCTGCGGTGAATTTCAGTCAAAAACAAATTGAGAAATACTCATGTGGTGAGAGAGACCAAAATGGAAATTATTAATGTGCTCCAGCTATCAGGGAGCCCAGCAGGGAGTGAGAGCTGCTGGGGAGCCGGGGAAGCTTCTGGCTGGGGGAAGGGGAACAGGGAGAGGAGGGGCAGGAGGCCGATGATACTTCTCTTTGCCCTCAGAATCCAGGTGGGAGGTGCTGTGATATTCTGCTCAGAGGGCTGCCAGGCCATTGTGGACACAGGGACCTCCCTCATCACAGGACCCTCGGAGGAGATCAAGCAGCTGCAAAAGGCCATTGGAGCAGAGCCCACCAATGGAGAAGTGAGTGCCTGGCTGGGCGGGGAGGGATAGGAGCAGAGGCATAGGCTTCTCTTGAGAAATAGGAGGCCTCTAAATCAATCCTCTACGTTGTGTTTTAGTACGCTGTGGAGTGTGACAACCTCAATGTCATGCCAGATGTCACCTTCACCATCAATGGAGTCCCCTACACCCTCCAACCAACTGCCTATACCCTTCCGGTAAGAACTGTTTCCTTATTCTGCAAGTCACAGGGCCATACCCACATGCCTGCCCGTCACTTCCCCTTTTCAAACAGTCGCCTGCACTCCGCACCTCCTCCCATCTTATCTTGCTCTGAAGTGGTATTTCTTCTGGGAGGGACACGACTGCCTCTGGTGGAAAGACCAGTGGGCTGGGTCTCCAATTTCCTGTTCTGCCACGAAGCAGGAGCAAACCTGGGACACGCCATTCCATGAAGTTTTCTGACCTTGTCATGTAGGACTTTTCGAATGACAGTAATTTAATCCCCTCGACCACCAAGTCAGACCGGGGATGTTATTATTCCCATTTTATAGATGTATGAAGCAGGAGAAAGAATCAACCAACCAAAATTGTGAAGCAGCGGTCCAAGGCCATGCAGTGTGGCTCCCTCCATCACGCAGTATAGCCTCCAGGCAGAACTGTTTCCTTCTTCTCTGTATGTCACTTACATTCTTCTTTCCAACCCAGGATTCTGTAGATGAAACGGAGTTCTGCTTCAGTGGCTTTCAAGGTCTTGACATCCAGCCTCCAGCTGGGCCGCTCTGGATCCTGGGCGATGTCTTCATCAGACAGTTTTACTCTGTCTTTGACCGTGGGAATAACCGTGTGGGTCTGGCCCCAGCTGTCCCCTAAATAGGGGCCTTGTGTCTGTGCCTGTCTGCCTGATACCCCGTGGAAATCCAGCTGGGCCTATTAGGTTGGGCATTCTTTATATCTGTGAAAAAGTCATTTTCAATAGAATGCATTCGTTTCAGAGCTGCAAGTTGAATTATAACCAAACAGAGCGCGCGCGTGCGCGCACACACACACACACACACACACACACACACACACACACACACACACACACACACACACTTCACACATGTCCATACACCTACCACCTCCACCACCATCAGGATAGAATTAAGTTATGTGCCCACATTTCATATTGCTTTTTGCTAACATTTTATTATGGAAATTTTCAAACATGTACAGAAGCAGAGATTATAGTGCAATAAATCCCTGTGCGCCTCCATCCGACTTTGTCATCCCAGCTGTGCACGGCCTGGCCTGTTTTATCTGACCCACCATCCACCCCTCTCTTTCGCCCCACACACCTGTGTTATTTCGAAGCATAGCATCACATCACAAATCATCACATCAAGGATTTATCCATCAGTCCTTCTAACAGTCTTAAACAGGCAGTGTTCAGATGTTCCTCATTGTCTCGTAAATATTTGATTACGTTTACAGCTGACTTTTTAATATCAATATCCAAACAAAATTCACAAATTGCATCTATTTGACATGCCTCTTATATCTCTTTTCATCTGTAGAGTTGACCACATTCTGAATTTTGCTGGTTAAAATCCAGAGGTGTCATGTAATGTGGTTCTCTGGGTCCATCTTTCCTATAAAATGGTAGTTAGAACCAGAGGCCTGATTTGGTGGCAAGAAAACTTCATAGACAGTGCTGGGAACATCTCACCGTATCCCATCAGCGGCAGGTAGTGCCTGGTGCCTCCCCTGGTGAGTGGGTCCCGGACCTGTCAGCCTCATTATCCATAACAGATTTCCCTTTGGTACTTCACCTAAAGGTTTCAGAGGCCACTAATGATCATCGCTTAGATCCACACTGTCATTGGGAGTTGCAAAATAGGGATTTTTCTAATTCTCTAATTCCTCCTGTATTTGTTAGCTGAAATTCTTCTATGAAAAATAACGTTTTCATCAACTGTTTGCTCACCATGAGGTACAGCTCATACAGGAAAGGCAAGATTGCTTGCTTTTTTTCCCCTTTTATTTACCAGTTTCAGAATTATGAGTGTCTCAACTTACTGCAGTTTTTTAATGCTCAAATCACTCCACCTTTAGCAAGTTGAGTGTCCCTTCAATTTAGTTCCTGAAAACTTTTGATCTGACTCAATACAAAGAGACGTCTGGGCCCATTTTCCAAGCAGCGCTGGTTCCTTGTAATGTGTTTATATGTTTGTTGTAAATGAAAATATTTCATAGTATAAGGTGGGGAGGGAAGGAGAAGAGAGAGAGAGAGAGAGAGAGAAACTGACTCTGAACGAACCCCTTTCAACTTTGGGGTTTCCCCACCCCGAGGGAATCGACTTGGAGAATCCAGGTCTGAGCTGCATCCCACTCCAGTGGGATCTGTTGCCTCCAGAAACAACTTGTCTTTCTTTTCTTTTTGCCTTTTTCAAAATGGAATTACCATCATGGTTTTTCTTATTATAAAATACATGAAAGTCCTCCATGATCCTCCCCCTCAGAGATAAGCGTTATTATCAATATGAAGTTGTTTGACACGGACTTTTCGTGCATTTATAAACTGACAGAGGTGGCTGTTGGTAAGGAAACCTTGTTCTTTCTACAAAAAAAGGAACCATACTTGTCTCTAAATTGCTCTTTTCATTTAACAGCAGATTCCACGTCAGCGCAGACAGCTCGTTCCCTCTGACCCCTGTACTGTGTCCATTTATTTATCAAATTCTCTCATAATGAAGATTAGATTCATTTGGGGGTTACTTCGATTCCATCCAAAAAACATTTCTTTTGTGCCAGGCACTAAGTGAGTCACTCTGAGAGCTACAAGACAACTGAGACAGACCCAGCTGCCACTTTGGGCAGCAGGCGTCGTGGAAAACACACCAGGCACACAGATAACCTCTGTTATCTGTTATCACATCTGCCCTCCACCCCTCATCAAACTGGTGACCTTGGCTGACTACTTCATGTCTGTGAGATATCAACCCCACAGAGCTGTCTCTAAGAGTCAGCTAACCTGAGTAGAAGTGCTCATCTCGTAATGTTTGTGACCTGTCCCCGTCATGGTCAGAGCAGATCACGGCTACACACATATGCACACTCTTTTGTTTTGATTTTACTTTTTTTTTTTTAAATTAAATTATTGCTTTCAGAGTTAACTCAGAACAGCCTGATCCAAATAAGGTCGCAGTGTAGTAGGGCAGTTAACAACAAGGCTCTAGAGTCAGACAGGTCTGGACTTGATTCTCGATGCCAGCTGTGGGACCTCTGCACCTCAGTTTGTTCATCTGTAGAATGGACATGGTAATAGTAACTACTTCACAGGGTTATTGTGAGGATTCAATAAGTGCGTGCAACACTTACCTAGTTTATTAGCCTGTGCTCACCCAAGGACCAGACCTACACTCAACATAGGCAAATATCATAAAAGGCAGAAGCCCTAGAGTAAAAAGGTTTTATGACTTTTCCTCTAAAACAAAGCACACCAAGAGCCAAGGAGGAGCCAATTGTTAGATAGCACCCCTACAGGCTTTCTCCCTAAGAGTGATGTCTGCAGAGCAGGCAGCCTCCCTGAAGTGGTGAATGTGCCCAGGAGCCTGAGTGGTGGAAGCCTGGAATATGAAAATGATGCTTAAACCGCATGTGCAGGAAGTGAAAGCTGGCTGTTTCCAGGCTGCCCTGAGCCAGTTTCCAGGCTGCCCTGTGCATGTTGGTCCCTCAAGGCAGAAGTGACGCTTTCGGTCAGCATGGACTAAACTCCCACTGGTTGTGTAACCGACTTAGCCCCATTAGCTGCTTTGGGTTTTCCAAAACTGACCTTTACTCTTTATGACCTTGACATCATCGGTGTTAGCCCTGAAATCTATGTCCTTGTCCCATGACCTGTGTCTGATACTACGTCACAGATCTCTCAGGGATGGGCCAAGAGCTTTGGTAAAGCTTCACTGTGCCCTAGGTATTGTTTTAAAATGTTATATTTGTTTCCTCGGGCTGCCGTAACCAAGTACCACAGACCGGGTAGCTTACAACAACAGAAATGTATTGTCTCACAGTTCTGGAGGCTGGAAGTCCAAGATCAAGGCGTCAACAGGGTCGTTCTCCCTCTGAAATTGCCTCTTCCTAACTTCTGTTGATGGCAGGAAATCCTTGATGTTTCTCATCTTGTAGCTGCAACACTTCAGTCTCTGCCTCCGTTGCCACACAGTCTGCTCCCTGTGCGTTTCTGCCTCTATGTCTCTTCACCTCTCTTATAAGGATATCAGTTATATCAGATTAAGATCTGCCTTACTCCAGCATGAACTCACGTCAACAAATTACATCTTCCACAACCCAATTTTTTAAAAAAGGTCATTCTGACGTCCCGGGGATTAGGGCGTCAATATATCTTTTAGGGGAACATTTTACTAACTGCTCTTATATTTGATTTTTGGCTTCTTAAAGTCCTTTCAGGAGCTTTTGGTATTGTGTCTTTTGTTTCTTCCCCTCCTCTCCAACAAATCTGTGAAGCGGGTTTTATTTCCCCATTTTCTAAATGGGGAAATTAGCGTTTAAAACAATGAAACAATCTGTCAAAAGCAGAGGTGACAGTAGAATCCACGTCTCTCGCTTCCTAGTCCACCACTTCTATGTTACCTCCTCCCCCAAGCCCAGGTATTTGTCAGTTCAAGATATCTGAAATGCGAGGATTGCAAGTAGATTCCAGTCAGTTCCCATAGTATTTATTTTTTAAAATAAAAATGCATTCGCTAAAAAAAAAAAAAAATGCATTCACCGCTTACATGTCGGTGGGTGCCTACCCTGTCTCCTCCTGAATAGAAACAAGGCCTTGCTAAGGAGACTCCGGGGAGCCATTTTTGTCGTGCTGAGCATAACGTTCTTGGAGGAATTGTCCCTCTCCTCTTCTAGGTGAGCCTGGCAGGCTAACAGTCCTAGGTTCCTGTCACCATGGCTGACATAACAGGGGAGAACACAGGCCTCAAGTCACACCAGTCAGGCTCCCTCTCCCGGGAAGCGAACACTGAGTGTGACCCCACAGGGAGGACAAGCGCCTGGAGCTGAGTTGTGTGTGACAGACGCACAGAGAGAGACAGTTCCCAAGTCCCCAGTGCCGAGACCTCCAGCACTACCCGGCTTCTGTCCTTCGCAGGCCGTGTTGCTCATCTCTTCCCACTGCTTCTGTTCTCTACTAAAGAACTCTGGCACGTGCCTCCTCCCGTAGGAGGGGGACCGATGACTGTCCTGCCTGCTGAGGGTGTCAGCAGTCTCAGGACTGTGACGTCTGATTCCTTCTGTAAGTAAAGTTCAAGAGTAGGCTCAGCATCTTTGGCTGGGAGCTCATAAAAGAAGAACTTGCACTTTGAAGGGTGGTAAGGGTAGAGGGAACATGTGAGAATTTGCTCAACACCCCACAAACCTAGGCTGTGTAAAAGACACCAGGGCTTGACCGCAAGTCCAGGCCTCAGGACCACAACGAGCTCCTACTCCTCAGCCGCAACACCTGCCTCTTGTCTTCTCAACTCTTGCGAGGTTATAACATGCCACTAACTCCTAGAACAGATAAACCTCCAAATCACAGTGGCTTAAACAATAAAAGATTATCTCTCATTCATGAAGAGTCCCATGGAAGACTTGCATAATTCAAAGACCTAGGCCCTTTCGTCTTATGGTTTCCAAATCCCCTGGGACCTCAGAGTCATTCTTTCTGTCCTGTAGACAGGAAAAGAGTGTGGCAGATCCTGCAAGAGGTTTTACCGGGCCAGGTCTGAAAGAGGTTAAGGTACCAACAGAATATTTCCTCTACATCTGTCCAACTTGAGCGCCAAGAGGGCAGGAGCTTTGTGTTGCTCACCATTCTGTTCATTCGCTGAAACATAGTCCATGGCCGCACCTATCCACAGGGGCTGGAGATGCCGTCCAGCTGCGGCGTGGAGGTGTCAGGGGCTTTGACGACCACCAGCAGTCTCTGCCTCAGCGGCCTTGACCTTTTCCCTCCCGCTTTGTAAATGTCAGTGTGTCTCAGGTTCTGCCTCAGCCCTCTTCTCTGTCCCTCTCCCCCTGCCCTTTCACACACAGGAGACCATGTGCCTCCGCGTGAGTGTAATCTACGGAGGCAACCCTCACGTCAGCATGTCGAAATGAACGATTTACAAAGCTATGACTTTTCCGAAATAACTCCTACATCTTTGTTTCTCGTCCTGCACTGTGCAGCCTGAGCTCTAGTCCTGCCATTCATTCATTTACCCAACAAATATTTACGGAGCCTTCTTTTGGTCCTGGTTCGATAAGGGGAAACTTTTTTTAAATGCCTGAGTCAGAAGCTTATATTTAACATTGTATTGGGAAGTTTAATTCAAAGGAAGCGAGAGAAGGGGAATAAGTACGAGGTGAGGACAGATTTGCAACAAACACAGCTGTTGCTGGGCTGCTCGCAGAATGGCCTGATGGCAGCGGATGAGACTGGGGGCGGGTTTGAACTTCTATCTGCTGGTTACTTTTTACTCCTGTCTTAACTGGTCCGAACCTGCCCATGAGCGTTTAGCCCCTCCACTTCCGATTCGTATTCCTGGCCTCTCCAGGAAGCTACTAGGAAGCCAGGGCCACCAGCCTGGGAGCAAGCCTAGCGCTGGCTTTTTCTCAGTCAGCACCCCGCTGGCAGGCTCCTTGACCTGTAGATATGGTTCTCACAGATTCAAGACCAGGGAGATGGCTTAAGCTGTCATCAGAATTGCTCTGGCTGTAAGCAAGACAAGGGTCTGTGGCTGGGTGGGGTGGGGGCAGTCAAGGCCAAGCACTGAGCAGTGTGGTCTGGGGACAGAAACGTGAACAAGACAGTGTACACCTTAGACAAGCTTAACTGGTGTCATGGAAATGTCCTGCTGGTACATCAACCTCAGTTTAGACAAAACAGAAGCCCCGTATCCCCTTCCAATCTCACTGTGTTTCTCATGTCAGTTAGGGGCATCATCGTCCCCTCGATTATGCAGGCTCGTTCCTCCATTCCTGCCTCACAGTCCTTCCCACTTTCCCAGGACATCTTCAATTAATATTAATAAGAACCCTCTAAATGCTCGGAGTGAGAGAGGAAAGGCGTCTTGCTCCCCGCGGAATACCCAGCACCCAGCTCCCCGGTCCTCTGTAACACCTGCTGAGGGATTGAACTCGTCAGCGATTTCATATTCACAACAGCCTTGTCGGTTCTGTCACAGATTTGCTTCTGTGACTGGTCTCCTTGTCCCCATTCCCCTAGTCATTACCTTTCACCAGGAGTACTTCAAGAACACCCTGATGCTCTGATTCTGGTCTCCCCTCCTTCCAGACGCATTTCTGAAACCTGTCTCCAATCGCATCCTTCCCTGGTTCCAGACTTCTCAACAGATCCCTCCTGTGCACCCAATGAAGTCCAAGTCGACATGACTTTGGGGGCTCTCTAGGGCCTTGCCTCAGGGTGACCTCCTGTCCATTCATAGCTCATCCACCCTGGACCCAATGGAACCATCCTCATTTCCTCCCAGGATTTTTTCTACTCTGTTCGCCAGCGGAGGACACTCACCAAAATGGCCCCTTTTCAACGATTGTTAAGGGGCATTAGACACAGTGCCGAGAAAAACCAGATAGGAATCTCAGTCCCGCAGGATGCACACTGCGAGGGGGTCGCCGACTTGGAGCCTTATGTACTCTCTTCAGCCGAAATTCAGTATCTCTTCTCCTGACTACCTAGGGCCCACTGCTCTCCCGAGTCACTTCTTATTTTAAACTCGACTCCTTCCCCTACTTACAACACACCTGCACATGTTCAGATCCTGTGCATCCTCCAAGCTCTGATTCAGATACCTCCTTTCCATAAACCCTTTTCTTCCTCTAGAAGAAAAATTCCCACAACCCTTTAGCTGCATTTCTTATATCATTATTTGTACCATGTCTTATTTCCACTGGTGAAATGCAAATATCCATTTTGCGTCCCCCGACGAGTCTGACAGACTCCGATAATTGAATGAATGTATGCAGGAGGGAAGGAAGGACGGACATTCAATGAATACAGTGTCAGAGCCTCCCCCACAGGGTAGAGGCTGGTCATCGTTCCTCCCTGGAACATGTGTAAGAGGAAGAGAAGGGAAGTTGCTGACTCTTGATCCATGTGGACTGAGGAAGTGGGGCCTAGAGGCCTGAGAGTGGTTGGTGACTTGGCTGCCAAAGGTGTTAAGGATAGTTCTGCAAACATCCCCTAAAGGTGTAAGTTTCAGTTCCATGTTCAGAGGCTGTAAGGACTAGCTGAGGATAGCTCACTTCCCCTATCCCAAAGGACCCACGGCAGCAGCTCCATGCTCGCTTTTACATGTTCCCTGAAAGAGGCTCACATGGGTCTCTGCAGGCTCTCGTCCTCAGCCTCGCTCTTTCTCTCTCTCTGTCGCTGTCACACACACACACGCACACACACATGCACACACACACTGTTTAAAGCCTAGTCTCAGAAAAGTATGTGTCTGGGAAGAGAGTGGATTCTAAAGGGCAACAATTTAAGAACAAATTGGCCATCATAAACGGTGGTTGTCTTGAGGGTGGACCGAGGCACCTTTTCCCAAATAAGCAAAATAGAATATTTTGAGGAAACACATTTTGCAGTTTTTTCAACTTCAGTGGAATATTATTAAATATTAAAGTCCAAAATTACACTTCAGGGAAATCACCGCGCCCTCCCTCCAGGTGTATTTGCTAATTGGAACAAGGAAATGACCTTCAACTAGAGATTTCTTCCACTAAAAACTCCTTACCAAGCCTATATCTGGCACTGTGCGTCGCTGAGTGTGGGGTTCAAGGTTACTAGCTCTGCCTTTGAGGAATGTGTAGTTTCGTTGACCATAGACGTTAGCAGCATCAGACTCAACACTGGCCACAAGAAAGAAGTTTTTGACAGTGAAGATTATTAAACATAGGAACGGGCCACAAAGGAGGAAAAATCCCATCTCAAAAGGAACGGGGGTGAAGGGGTGCATCAAATATATTACAAGCCCCAAGAGGATCCCCTGGAATCTGGTGACTCACTTAATTTGGACATGTCTAAACTCACTTTGTTTCCCTTGTATCTGAAGAATACAGTGAAGAAGCAAAACGGAGTCACTGCCGTCAAGCTGCTAAATTACTAAAATCAAGGAGGCTGAGGAGTGAGGAAATTATTCTGATTTTGTTTTAACTAGTCTGGGAATTTAACTTGAGATATTCAGTCCTGCATCGATGCCTGGATGTACATCACACCTCCAGATAACCCTCTGACTGCCCCCACACCCGCCACAGTGGATTAAGAAAAGAGTGGTCAAGTATCCAGCCCACCTGACATCCAGTAGCCAGACCACCAGTAATCTAGAGGATGACCATCTTGGACCGATCCAGAGGCTAAGGATGCGGGACTGATTTTTCTCGAGAATATGATTTTTACTATAAGAACTCTTAGCTTCCCTTTCTCCTTTGGAATACTTAAAGACTCTTGAATAAACCTTTATTATTTATTTCTAGCCAAAGCCACCAGACTCTTTTTGAGTTCCTTTGACATGTCTGCCAATCATAGTTACCCAAAGCATGGTTCCAGACAGTTCAAAGAGATACCAAAATTAGTCTCATACTAACAGCATCTTAAATTGCTATAGTCTCCTAAATACTTCAGGTTGGATCACATATCCTCATCTGAGAGGCCCAGGAAGATGTCGGGACTTGCCTCCCATCTCACGAGTCTGGTGTGTGTGGTGGTGGTGCTGGCGGTGGTAGCTGTAGTGATGTAGTATGACGTGGTGTGTACAGTTTTAGGGTGAAGGCAAAGCGTAAGAACCAGAACCTCTCCTACCCCGTCTAGTAGTGGGACCAAATCTACTACACATGTGAGTCCAATACTTCAACAAACAAAAGGGCCCCTTTGCTAGATGGCTTCCAGCAGCAGGAACAGAAGTTCCTAAAATCAGCCAGAGGCTTTTTATGGTGTCGACAAAGCCATATTACCTTGCAGGTCCTCTGACTACCAGCTCCTACCCTGAAGTCTTCCATCCCTCATCATCCCCTAGGGCAGAGTCCCTGTAAACTAAATTCTCACGAGGCCCGGAATCCAGTCAGCTCTGAAGCCTAGCTATTCCATTCCACCCCACCCACTCCACCCACACAGCTGAGGTCACCCTGGCCCAGCCTCTTTTGCAACTTTCCCAAGTCTGTGCATGAGAGGGAGAGAAGGAAAACCCAGAAGGAAGTGGCTTGGCCTCAACAGACTCTTTTTGCTCCCAAAGCCTTTTTCCTCTGACTCGGCTTAGACTGTTCCTCTAAAAGGAGACCCCCAGACTCAGAGAGAACTCCCACCTGCCCTCGGAGGCCGAATGCCAAGCAGCCACACCTGTAAGTGTGTATGTGTGCGTGTATGTATTTGTGGTGGTGTTTTTCTTGGTTCTTGGTTCTTCCGTCTGTCCTAGCAGCCCCCAGAGGTATTTGTGTTTTGGTGGGGAGGAGTAGAGTCAGGTAACGAAGGATGAGGCTTAGCATCTGGCAGCTGAGGGCTTACATCCAGCCCTAAGACCCCTAACTCGGGAGAAACTCCGGCGGCCTGGCAGCGAGTCAAACAGAGAAGACTCTCCGCCCAGCCCAGGGAGCTGGGGCCCGGCTCGGGTCTCTGCACAGGCCATCGGTCTCCAGCAGGAAGGCGCAGCTGCTGGGACAGTCAGAGGAAGGGCAGCTGGAAACTGGAGCCCTTCAGGAGAGCTGTCCTGCTAGAACCGGAAGTCCCCTTGACACATCGACAGGATGCCTTCTGAGATGGAAGCATCTCATCCAAAGGGTCTCATCAGGGAAGGGGAACTCCTAGAGTAGGAAGTGTCCTTCTTCTAAATCATAAGTATGTCTCTTGCTCTGCAATGCTAGGTGAGCCAATGAGTGGAGTCAGACAGACCTGGGTTCTAGTCTCTGCTTGCCTCAGGAATCCATTGGGCTGCAACAGCGTTTTGTAAATTGCAAAGTGCCCTATAATTGCCAGGTACTGTGTATTAATAAAAGTAATTTATTTGGGCTTACCGATCAATCCCCCATATACAAGTGCCTTAGAGATAGCAATTGGTCTATATCCTCAGACCTTCATAGTACTAATATATATTAAACATATAGTACATGTGCTGGATGGATGAACAGATAGATGGACAGATAGATGGACAGATGGATGGATGGATGGATGGATGGATGGATGGATGGATGGATGGATGAATAAATGGATAGATGGGTGGACAGATGGGATAGGTGGATGGATGGATGGGGGTAGGTGGATGACTATTTATTGAAGACTCCATATTCCCAGCATGGGTCAGGCTCTTTGGAGGGATACCGAAAGATGTGAGACACGGTCCTGCCCTCTGGACGCTGCCAGTCCACTTCAGGAGAACTTAAAGAACAGGAATGCTGAGCTTCCTGAAACCAGGGTTGTGGGTGCTCTTCCCAGAGGAGCACGTCTAGACCTGCTAGGATTTAGGTGGGTAAAGCAGAGCTGTGAGCCTTCCAAGGAGGCAATAAAGGCTTGTGCTCCCTAGATAGCCTCTTTTCAAAGACAAACTTTACTCCCAAGATTGTAAATCCCATTACTTTTAGGGTGGATCTATTTGTCATTTTCCGAGGTACAGGAGCAGGGAAGGGAGGCACTGAAAGTGGAGTAAGATGAGGGGAGTGGGGAGACTTTGCCTGCTGCAGAGTTCTCATCTGCCCCCGCTCACTGGTCTCCCGTATCCCTTCTCCTTGTCACCTCACACAATCGAGGCAGAAGGCTGTGCCCGGGTCCTGGTTGAGGCAAGTGGGGTAGGGAGAGAAGGAAAGTGGGAATGTGAGAACAGAGCAGGGCCAAAGGGTTCTTGTAAGACTGGCCCCAAACCCCAAGGCTTTTTAATTTTAATTTTTTTAAATTTTTATGAGGAGGCATCAAACCAGTCTTTCTGACTCCTCAGGGACTGGGCTACACTGTAGCTTTGGCAGACAGGCAGGGCCTGGGCTCCAATCTTAGAAGTGCTGCCAGGCAAGAGGGGGAGAAGAGTTAGTCACAAGCAATGCAGAGCAGTGGCCTGCAAGGTCTGCTGTGTGGACCTGAGCTGGCTGGAGGCAGGGCCCTGCAATCGAAGCCTGCTTTTCACTGTTATTTAACAGTGGAAGGCGATGACTCAGCCTGGCCTCTAGGAGGATGCCCTGGTTCGAAGCATCTGAGTCATCTGAGTGGGCAGGAGGAGGCTTAAGAGGACAGGCTTTGCCAAAGTTCAGTCAAGTGAGAGCAGAGAAGACATGCGAAGGGACTTCGGCCACCATCTGAAGTCTGCACACGCCTCCTCGGCGAGCCCAGCCGGTGTCTACTCTCAAGCCACCCTCCCTTGTCACCGATGTAGTCCTGGTCACCCTGTTGCTGCTGCCAGTTATCCTGGGCCCAAGGACCTGGCTATTTTAAATAACAGCCTTTGCGAATTCCCGCCCTTCTGGGAATCGGCAGTGGCAGCACACATCCAGGGGAAGAGGACCAGGTGGAAGTGGGGTAAGGGGAGCTCAGGGTCAAGGCTGAGGTGAGTTACAAGGACCCAGAAAAGAAAAGACTCAAGTAAAATTCGAAGAGAAGACTTTCAACCGCAGAAGGGCTGGCATGTGGTAGAGGAACTGAGCATTTCTTGTGAGCCCCCACCCCGCCCTGGAGAAATCCACCCCTAGGGATGGGGAAGAAGCTCTGTGGAGGCAGGTCTGGCTCTATCTTTCCATGAATGTAGTGAAGACAACTCAAGCACTGGGTAGGAGATTGCACTATATGACCTTTGAGGTCCTACCTGTCGCTTGCTAACGTAGGCTCCACTAGGAGCTTGAAATCAGCCATGGTGAGAATATTTACACCATAGAGCGTAGGAGGCTCTGCAAATCTGCTTCCTCCTGGCCCCCTAGCTGTTAACCATTTTCCTGGGTCTTCCTCAATTTGGAGAGCCAGTCGTGCTATGAGAACATGACACATGCCATCCTGCATAATTTGCCACAGCCATAAGTGACGTCTATTTTACCAATGAAGAAACAGACTCACCAAGGTTAAGTAACTCATCCAAGGTCACAAATGCATGGAGGTGGGATGAGAACTGACTTCAAAACTCATGATCGCTCCATGGGACCAGGCGGCCTTCTTCTCCTGCCCCAGACACAAAATGATTCGTCCTGTCAGGAAGTCACACTCAGATGACAGAGCTGCCATCCATCCACATGCTCTTTTAAAAGAAATGTTAAGTCTTTATTTGATACTTTTTAATTATAACAACTTAGGCTTGTGTAACAAATTTTAACATAACATACATAAAATAAGACAATAACTCCTAGCCTCTAATCTAACTTTCTTCACCTCCTAGTAATCATTTAGTGTGTATTTATCTGTAGCTTTCAGTGTATTTACAGGACAAGCATATAATATAATATTAAACATATAGTCATACACATAGAATTGTTGCTTGTTTTTATACAATTGGGGTCATACCATACAAAATATTCTTTTTTATTTAAATTATCATTATATCTTCCTACTTCATTACTTCATTCTCACTCAAAGTATAAATAGAATATAATTTATGTAGAAAGTGTCTTATTGATGGATATTTAGGTTACAACAATTCTCTTCAGCAATCATTTTTGTACAAATGTGTGTTTGAGTATATGTGTATTTCTATAGCACAGAGTCCTAGAATTAAAGCCTACGGTATGATGAGCATATTAAGTTTTGATATTGTCAAATTGCTCTCCAAGAAAGATGGTGCCAATTCATAGTCCATCAACAATGTATAAGAGTGTTACCCCTATACACTTGCCAGAACTAAATATTATCATCAATCTTTTTAACTGTTGCCATTCTAGTGAGTTAAAAAAGTGGTATTTTAAATTTGCATGTCTTTAAAACTTAGTAAGGTTATCTTTTCAAAGCTTACTACTAATCATGTATAAGACTTCTGCTGGTTACTCATTCATATTCTTTGCCCACTTTTATGCTGTATGTTGTCTGTAGACTGCTTTACACATAGTGGGTACCGATCCTCTGTTGCACATAACACATAGACTTTCTAGCTCCTCCCCACATGCAGTCTTCCCTTCGTACGTACACCAGCTCTGCTGCTCCATGCCAAACGCACACCACCCAGCCCCCGAGCCTCTCTGACAGGGGCCCCGAGTGGCAGGGTGCGTGACCCTCATTCTAGTTTTGCAGAAGGCACTAGGACCTAACAGTTAAGGGTGGGATCTCCGGTGTTAGGCTGAATTCAAATTAAAGTTCCAATTCCAGGATCTACCTCTGATGGGCTGTATTTCTAGAGATGAACTACTTAACGTCTGGAACCATCTGTTTCTCAGTAGTAAAATAGAGATAATAATGTCGGTCCCACAGGCTATAATAATGTCAGTCCCACAGGTTTCTCTGAGCCCCGGTCATGTACTAATAATAGTCACAAAATAGCTAACATTTCTTGAGCCCTTAGTTTATACCAGTAGATGTATTAATAATGTATGATATCGTTTAAACATATTAGAATAATGTATTAATCCATTTACCCTCACACTGATATACATATTATTTATTTACATATTCACAACGCCCTCTCTAGCTGCCAGGAAGTAAATGTCAGCTTACAGGATGAGCCACGTGGCCGGGGCCGTATCCCAGCGTGAACGTTCCCCTCCGCCTCACTGCAGCGCCCCTCCCACCGTCACTTCTGTCACTTTGGTTGCCTTTCTCTCTATCTCCTCCCACTCTACTAGGGTTTGGTGGGGCTCGCCAGACCTGAGCACAGTGCCCTGGGCCCTGGGCACACACATTCTATGCATTGGAACTCAGGAGGCCGGGAGGCAATGTGGCACAGAGGAGCCCCCTCTGGCCTCCAGTTTAAACACCAGCTCCTCCACGTG